TGCATCTGGACCTGGGTGGCAGGGTGGGACCTGGCCTGGGCGAGTCCCTGCCTTCCCTCCTGTCTCTGTCCTGCCCCTCTCAGAGCCTTCACAGCACTTGTCATCAAGGTTGGTCATCTCAACCTTATTTACTGTCTGTTTCCCCAATTTGCCTCTGAGGTCTGGGGTTATTTTGTTCACAATGTATGTCTGGAACCCTGGTAGGATCAAGTCCAATCAGTCATTCAGTCATATTTCCTGAATGAATGGGTGAAGGATGGGTGATTTGAGTTGCCTGCATTCTCTTGCTATTGCTGATTTGGGGTTCAGCCGCGAAGGTCCTGCTAACAAGATTCCACTCCCTGCACATGTAGGGACAGGCACGCGTTGAGGACAAAGAGGAAACACCAGTCATTGACGTTGAGAGGGGAGGCAAGATCATAAACAGGGAGAGGGAAGTCTAAGGGTGAAAAGTTTTGGCAGGAGGAAGACAAGAGGGATTGAGGTGAGAGTGTAATAGAAAACTAGTTTGAGAAGTTTGCTGGCTGGTGTGAGGGGGACTGAAGCCTGCTATACCAAGTGGAGTATTCCTGACTCCAGGGTCATCCCTAAATTAACTCCCTCACCTCTCATTTCAAGACTTCAAGTATTTTAGAATGTACCGTCTCAGGATGTGATGTCATGGAAACCCACTGGGTAAGAAAGACCTTGCTCTCTGGGTGGTAGTGATAGTGAATAAAACATAAAATAGGCCCATGGGCTAAATTCCTTTCTCACTCATGCATTTATAACACCTGCTGAATGGGACACACGTCAGTATGGGGCCCAGTAGGCGAGATCACAATCGGGCAAGTGGTACGTGGAGGAGCTGTGACCTCCTAGGAGACCGACCATCATGAATTCTTCACGAGTGATGTAGCACTCTAGGCTGGACCTCTCTCTGGTTCCCCAGTAACACGTGAGACCCAAGTGAGATCCCTTCTTCAAGAAAAGGGACACCCTCCCTGTCTCCTACCCATCACTATCTCCTACTCATCACGGATGGTCAACAGCCAATCATGGGAATTTATTCTTTAGTACATTCTTTTTAAAACCATTTATTAAAGAATAAATGTTTGCAGGCCTAAGCAATAGACTTTGAATCCTGTGTTCAGAGATCGGTATGTTTTCAAATTCAGAAGATATCACATACTTGGCATTTGTTACTGTAAACAAGTAGGTACTGGAATGAGAAGACTCTGGTTTCAAACCCCAGCTGTACATTTATTGACTGTATGACTTGGGATGGAGATCCTTACACATTTTGAGATTTTTAATCACCTGTGATATGGAGATGGAAACTTTTGCAGCCACTTTGCACTGCAGGCGCTAGTGCAGGGCGGGCACTTGGTGAATGAGGTCTACCCATTCACAACCCCTGGTCCACAATGCTGTAGTCAGAAATTCCTCAGCAACCAGAAGTTCTTTTTTAATTTTGTGTCCAACTAGATTCTTGGGTTTCACTGGTGGCTCACATTGTAAAGAATCCGTCTGCAATGTGGGAGACCTAGGTTCGATCCCTGGGTTGGGAAGATCCCCTGGAGAAGGGAAAGGCTACCCACTCCAGTATTCTGGCCTGGAGAATCCCATGGACAGAAGAGCCTGGTGGGCTACAGTCCATGGGGTTGCAAAGAGTCAGACAACTGAGCAACCTACTTCCTTCCTAATTAGATAGTGAAACCTAATCAGAATTTAACAGGGAGTCTATTTATTGCCTTTCTTTATTCTGTTCAGTGTGAATATGTGTGTACTTTGCTTCAGAAATAGTAATGTATTTGATTTCAGGGTGTTCCAGACCCTTCTGGGATTGGATTATGATACACACCTGTTCTCACCTTATCTTTCTCTCTTTGTTTTTAAAGATTTTTTTTTTGATGTGGACCATTTTTAAAGTCTTTATTGAATTTATTACAATAATGCTTCTGTTTTACGTTTTGAATTTTTGGCCTTGATGTGGGATCTTAGACCCCCAACCAGGGATCAAACCCATACCCCTGCATTAGAAGGGGGAGTCTTAACCACTGGACAGCCAGGAAAATCCCCATTTTATCTGTCTGATGAGAAATTGTCAGGCCATGACCACTCCATTAACTTCTGTTAAAGTCTAAAATGCGCATATGCAAATAATCATATAAGAACACATGAATTTCCATTTTCAAAATCTCTTTGCTTAGGACTAGGAATGAAAACTCAATAGATGACCTCATTCAATTGTTTAATCAAAATTTACAAAGTCCTTATATTTTGTAAGATATACATCTTACAAAAGGTGCTGTGAAGGCTGCAAAGATGAAAAGAGAGACCCGCCACTGAGAAACCAGGAATTTAGTGTTTGGGATGAGGGTGGCACAAGAAAAATTGTAATATGCAAGGAAGAGCATGCTGACTTCTTTGGTTGGGATTCCAGGCAGGACAGGTTCACCACTGGAGAGAGGGTGAAGGTTCATAAATGTGGGACATTTGAAATGTGGGTAGGAATGTGCCAGGCGAAGATGAAGGATGGGGTATTCTGAGCAGAGGGAGCAGTAAGGAAAAGGTGTGATAGCAGGGTGGAATTAACTGTTTGGAGAATAGTGAGTGGTCCAGCTTGGTGGAAGCACAGAGTGTGTGGTAACAAGGAGGTGAGGATAAGGCTGGAGGGGAAGATGGGCAGGATGGTAGAAAGCGGGACTGCCAGGTGGAGTTTGTGCTCAATTTAGCAGACAAGGGAAGGGATAGTATTGCTTAAAAAAATTTTTTTTTCTGATTGCTAAACTAATGTGTTCAAATAAAAAGAACTTGGAAAACAAACAAAATATATTAATATATATATATATATATACACATACATATATGAAAACATGTCAATGATCATAATCTACACCTAGAGATAACTGTTGTTGATATTTTATTTTACTTAATATTTTATTTAATTAGTAAATTTAATTAATTTAAATTATTGATTATTTAATTTAATATTTTTATTTACTTATTTTTTAATTAAATTTTTTTTTTTGCTGCACTGGGCTCCCTTTTACAGGGCAGGCTTTCTCTAGTTGCAGCGCTAAGGTCCTCTAGTTGTATGTGTGGGCTTAGTTGCCCCATGACATGTGGGATCGTAGTTCCCAGATAAAGGATGGAACCTGCGTTCCCTGCATTGCAAGGTGGATCCTTAACCACTGGACCACCAGGGAAGTCTCCACTGTTAATATTTTAAAATGAGTCCTTGCAGTCTTTTTCTGTATAAACGTAGAAGACTTAACTAGTTTGATTAATTAATTCTGAGGGTAATGTATAAATGAAACCACATTGCTTCAGATTATTTGAAAAACAGCCTTTGGACATAATCCTGTAGAAAAAGAAATATAACAGCAGTATATGGGTAGGTTGGATATACTGATATGTATAAATAAGAAAGCCATTAAGAATGCTGCTGTGATGATTAAGATGAAGCAAATCCTTGAACCTGGATGGTGGCTATGAAAAAAGAAAGATGACAGGATGAGAAAAAACTGTATTTAAAAGGACGGCAATTCAAGTGGTTTAGAAGGAAAAAGGAAAACTCAGAAATACCTTCCAGGTTTCAAGTCAGGGTGACTGGGGTTTTGGGGGGAATGGACATGATACTAGATTTAGGGGATGATTGTGTGTGTATTTTTTTTTACCCATTTTGAGTATGTGGTGGTGTGAGATGTGGGTTGAGAACAAAAAGGCAGATTCAAGATTCATTTACATTTTCAAGATTTTTCTGGTTAAGGGAGACGATGAGTTTTCTGAAGGAGAGACTAGAGAGACAAAAGATGGATTGGAAGAGAGATGTGGGGACATTCATATTTAGAAAAGAACAGAACAACAGGAGCTAGAGGAGGAGCCAGCCAAAGAAAAGTCAGAATTGTCAGAGAATTGGGAGTCAAGTGGCTCTACAGTTAAGGGTGGAAGCTATTTCAAAACATTGTGATTCACAGAGTGAAATGCCACAGAGAAGGCAAGAAGGATGAGGACTGGGCACAAAGGATGAAAAGAAATCATGTATAAGTTACCAGGTCCTGAGACATGGAAGTGTTAGTTGCTCAGTTGTGTCTGACTCATTGTGACCCCATGGACTGTAGACTTCCTGGCTCCTCTGTCCATGGAATTCTCCAGGCAAGAATATTGCAGTGGGTAGCTATTCCCTTATCCAGGGATCTTCATGACTCAGAGATCAAACCCAGGTCTCCTGTGTTGCAGGCAGATTCTTTACTGTTGGAGAACTCTGCTAATAGCAGGTGTTATTATGTTAAAAGACTGTCATATTTGGCAGTGAGGAAGGGTTTACCGACCCAGCCAAATGTCTTGCACAGAGATGGAGCTTAACAAATGTGTTGAATGAAATAATGAATGAGTGGGAGACAAAAGAGTAAGTGTTTAGGAGTGATGGTGATGTGTGTGTGCTGTCATAAGTTGAGTCTGACTTTTTGTGACCCGCCTGGACTGCAGCCTGTCGGGCTCCTCTGTCCATGGCATTTTCCAGGCAAGAATACCAGATGGTACTGTGGAGGTGGCCAATTCCTAACTCTGTCCAGCAGAGCCAATCAGTTCCTTGCCCCTTGGGACCTTCTGCCCTTAGGACTGCGTCTCCTGGATGTTGAATCTGACTATGCACACAGGCCAGTCTGCTTGGGAAGCCAGGTCAGCCATCAGGGAGCAAGGTCAAGAGAGAGGCTGGTGGCCATTTCTCAATAAGACTTCCTGGCGTCTCACAGGCAGTCCAGAGAAGGGGCATCAAGTGCCATGAGTAACCTCAGCGTCATCAGGGAGTTTATTCTCCTAGGGTTTTCTCATCTGTGTCAGGTTCCAGTCCTTCCTGTTTGCCTTCATCCTATTGATATAGGTGCTGACCGTTCTGGGGAACCTGGCCACTGTCACCCTCACGTGCCTGGACCTGGGCCCCACTCACCCACATACTTCTTCCTCTGCACCTTCTCCCTCAGAGAGGTGCTGGTCACCTCCACTGCGCCCCTAGGATGCTGGCTGACCTGCTGTCCCCTCGCAGGACCAAGGCCCTGGCTGAATGCCTGACCCAGTCTTTCTTTTACTTCTCCCTGGGCTCCACCGACTTCCTGCTCCTCACAGTCATGGCCTTCGATCGATCCATGGCTATCTGCTGCCCTCTACACTACCCGACCATCATGAACAGGCCTGTCTGTGTGAAGCTGGTGGTGGTCTGCAGGGTGGTGGGGTTCCTCTCCATTATCTCCCCGACCCTACAGAAAACCCAGCTCTGGTTCTGCGTCCCCAGCGTCACTGACCACCACATCTGCGACTCTGCCCCGCTGCTCAAGCGGTCTTGCTCCGACACCCAGCACACCAGGCTCATGGACTTCTTCCTGTCCTTGTTTCAGAGACCAGACAAGGGCCCCTCTGCACAGCTCAACAAGGTGGTGGCCCTGATGACTGCCCTGGTGACGCCGTTCCTCAACCCCTTCATCTTCACCTTCCGGAATGAGAAGGTCCAAAAGGTCATGGCGGAGAAGGCAATGGCACCCCACTCCAGTACTCTTGCCTGGAAAATCCCATGGATGGAGGAGCCTGGTAGACTGCAGCCCATGGGGTCACTAAGAGTCGGACACGACTGAGCGACTTCACTTTCATTTTTCACTTTCATGCATTGGAGAAGGAAATGGCAACCCACTCCAGTGTTCTTGCCTGGAGAACCCCAGGGACGGGGGAGCCTGGTGGGCTGAAGTCTATGGGCTCACACAGAGTCGGACACGACTGAAGCAACTTAGCAGAAGCAGCAAAAGGTCACGGAGGTTACGTCCGAAAGGATCCTCCTGAGATGCACAGCTGCCCTCAGATGAGAGCAAGGAGTGGGGACCATCCACTGTGGGTGGCGCCCAGGTGCCCAAGCTGGGGCTTCTCAGTCTCCTTTCTTGTCTCTCCTGCCCCCTCTGCCCACTGAAGTCTCTGTTCACTCTTCACAGGGAGCGGATGAGTTCACATCATCCAAATGTCTCAAAGGCAGGCGTCTGTGAGCCTGCGCTAGTTAAAGAAAGGGTGGTTTCAAGGCAGCTGGGGGTGTAAACAGTGTGATGATTGCAATTCAAATTGCAAAACTTTTTGATTGAACTCACTCAGTCGTGTCCAACTCTTTGTGACCCCATGGACTATAGCCAGGTTCGTCCGTCCATTGGATTTTCCAGACAAGAATACTGGAGTGGTTTGCCATTTCTTTTTCTAGGAGATCTTCCCAACCCAGGGATCAAACCTGGGTCTCCGGCATTGCAGGCAGACTCTTTACCGTCTGAGCCACCTGGAAAGCTTCAAAACCATAGGCCAAAATACTGGAGTGTGTAGCCTTTCCCTTCTCCAGGAGATCTTCCCAAGCCAGGGATCGAACCCAAGTCTCCAGCATTGAAGGCAGATTCTTCACCAGCTGAGCCACAAGCAATCTCAATTCAAAAAGATAATCCAAATCAAGCTCTTGCACAGGGACTTGGAATGTAGGGAGAACTCAGTAAATATAGCCGTTATTATGAAATGTGCTATTAAACTCTCTCTCCAAGGTCCTGCTCTATGGTTTTGTTCTCATTCCTTTATGTTTCTTTGTGTGCAGTCTTTTTCTAGTCTGTGTTCCTTTCTCAGGAACTGGTTTCAGAGTCTAGACTGGGGTCCTGAAAGTGGGAGGTTCTCAGAAAAGAGCTGAGAGGATTGGCATCCTCAAAACAGAAAAAACTATGTGCCTCTCGCCAGGACCCCATCCGGGACGGCTCCTGGGACCCCCGTCTGGGACAGCTCCTGCAGCAGAAGCACCACTCACACCTGGGCTGCCCACTGCTCCCTCCTGACCCCCAGACCTCTTGATTTTTAAACAGAAATGACTCTGGGGGCCACTTCCCCATCCCTCCTATAGAGCAATGTCATGAGGGCCCCATGCCTAGAAAGAAGGGCATGCCCTTTTGGTTTTTTAAATGTTTTATCCTTCCTCTGCACACAGGAAAGAGAGGACAAAAGCTGGATTGCTGTCCCCACACTCGCTACCTCCCTCTTCTCAAGGTCTAGCTCTTCTCCTCCTCTCCTGCAGAACCACAGATCCCACAGAACCTAGAGGGAGGGGCCTCAGAGGCTGGGGTTCCTGGGAGTCACCTGGCTGGGAGACTCTCAGCAGCCTTGTGGGGAAGACAGAGGTGGTGGAAGGTAGAAGAGGAGGAAATGGAATAAGACGGGTCTTGGGGGTAGTGGGCTGGAGGGCGGATGAAGGAAGGTATCCTTGGAAAGCTGGGAATGGTTTCGGGAGTCATGGAAAGATAGTGCCAGTGGAAACAACTTTGGCATCTGATTTCTTATACCAGACGTAACCTGGACTGCCCTGGAATTCTCAAAACAGGACCAAGAATAGATTCAGACGTCCCCTGACGTCTGGAGCTCGTTCTCTTCACAGGGTTCTAGAGAGGCCCTGGTGGTCATGTACAGTGGAGACAGTCACAGCGTGGGGGTCACCCCTCAAACCCAGTGTTGTGAAGAAAGGAGGTGGTGGGAGGAACCAGTGTCCCAGGATATGTGGTCTTGGGGCCTGAGTCTCCTTTTATGACCAGGAAGCTTGGTCTCCAATTCAACTGGTTTTTTTGGTTTGTTTGTTTTTTGTTTTAAATAACTACCACAGGACACGTTCCCATCTGTGGGCCTCTCCAAAAAAAAGTAGGCAGGTACTTTTATTCTGCTGTAAAGGCCCACTGGGAAAACATTTTTTTTTTTCTTCATTCTGAGAACTTTCTCTCCTTTAAGTCTCAAGGGACTAATTACTTACCACCCTAGCAAATTTTGTGGGAAAAAAACTGAAGAACTAAATGGGAGACAATTATCTCCTTCTGATAGGCAAACACTTTCCTTCAACTTTTTTGCTTCTCAGATAATCAGCACACAAATCCACTCAGGTTTTCCTCCTCAGAGACTCTTTCCTGTGAGTCTCATCTCTCACCTTCCCTCTAAAAATTTAAAACTACATCTGTGCCTCTATTTCTGTTTTGCAACTCAGAGACAAAGGCCTAGAGGACAAATGTATGGAGGCCAAAGTGGGGAGGAATTGGGAGATTGGGATTGACATATATACACTCTTGATACTACGTATAAAATAGATAACTGATATAAACCTGTTATATAGCTCAGGGAATTCTCCTCCATGCTCTCTGGTGACCTAAATGGAAAGGAAATCCAGAAAAGAGGGTATATATGTATATGTACAGCCAATTTACTCTGCGGTACAGTGGAAACTAACACAAGTTTTTAAGCAATTATACTCCAATAAAAATTAATTTAATAAAATAATCAGTAACAAAAAAAGAGTTTAAAAAAATACCCAACAGCCTGCAGCAGCCTTTTGCCCATTTTTCACAGTATTCCGGTAGGACTGGGCTCTCTGACTCACTAGTTTTGGAGAAGGTGTAAAGAGCTTTGTCCCGTCACAGTAACTGCCCTGTCGTAGGCAGCATCTCACAGGCATGACATTCTTAACACACTTGCCTGTGGTTCCTTGTTACTCAAATTGTGATGCCTGGAACCACATTGGCATCTCCTGGGAGCTTTTTGGAAATGCAAAATCTGGACTCCACCCCAGACCTTCTGAACCCGAATCTGAATTTTTAACAAGACTCCTGGGTGATTCACATGCACAATAATATTTGAGAAGTGATGATATTAATATTAGAGTATGCAGAGTATGCTGGGAATACAGGGAGGGAGTTTGTTAGATTGAATCTTCTCAAACGTGGTGTCATTTGAGTTGAGGCTTCACAAGTGCCAAGAAGGGGAAAAGTGAATTCCAGAGGGGCAACTTAATGTAGAAAGTAACAGACATGAAAATGGCATATCGTGTGGGCAGTGCAAGTCTGGAGAGATGGAATTAATGAATGATCCCTGAAGAGTGGTCATGGGTCTCTTCACCTCATCAAATCCAGGTCTCTTGGTTGGAGGGAGGGGATCACAAGTGTCCTCTGAAAGATGCTTCACTCGCTGAAGTCATAAGATGATGAGCTTTGTAGTAGATATAGAGGGCTTTACTATGGAAACTTTTGCATGCTAGGGCAATTCTACCATATTCACAAAGGTACTATTTACCTTCAGGGCTGGAATTTTATTGCCTTCAATTTTGAAAAAGACCTAAGTAAGTTCATAAAGAGTTTAGGAATAGTTCTACTAAAGGGCAATTCCATGAGGTTCCCTTACATAGATATGATGCTTGTCGCTCTCAAGGGAAGGAGAAGGACAAAGATGCTGGGTTGAATAGGGAACAAGATCTAAGGGGAAACCCCAGGTAGAATGCTATGCTGATGGTCTGGAGCCCTCCTGAAAACTGATAGTTAAAATTTTAGGAATTAAACATACTTATTATTAAAAATTAAATAATAGACATGTGCAATGAAGTAGATTATGTTAAAAACAAAGGTAATCAAAACTCAAAGCTCCTCATCATTTTACTGCCTTTTACTTTGTTTCATCCCACTGAAGTTGTCTGTGTCACTTGTATCCATATGGTAGAAATACTGGTCTCCAAGCTCAGTGATGCCATCTTGGTAGCTTGAATTAGACATGACGGGAGTGAAACTGACAGCAAGGAAACTGGTGAGTGCTGGAAGTCAGCAAATGCTACAACTGGAGGACCAGAGATTAATATTTACCAGCAGGCCCCTGGGTCACTCACTTTTCTTCCGTATTCATCAGGCATGGTTTCAAGAATCCTATTTACAACAGGAAATTTAAAGTTTAAGGAGTTGGTGGAACTAGATTGATAAAATCATGGTGCTCCGTAGGAACTGCTGAAAATTTCCACCTTGGCCTTAGAAAGTTTTGCACCTCACCTCACTCCTAAAATGCAGGGCCTTCATGGTATGACTGGTCATTCCAGGAATCAGGCCTGACTTTTGTATGAAAATGACTTGATTCCTTTATCATCTGCATCAAAACATCCATATCTTGGTTTCTTGCTCCCTAGTCCCTTCAGCTGGAAGGAATGAATCTACTTTCATTTCTCATTGGGATTTACATTTGTGGCAATGAGTTCTTGTGTTAGCTTTTCAGAACTTTATATTTCTAATGGTCGTTTACTAGGACATTGTATCTCTGAGGCTGGAATGTTGGACAAATGAAGGGAAGATGGGGGATGCATTTTAGAGTCAGGAAATCCTGCCATCATTTTTACCTATATTTAAGTTAGCTCTAGGTGGGGAGGTATAGATTGGGAATTTGGGATTGACCACGTAAGCTCTTCTATATTTTAAATAGATAATCAACAAGGATCTGCTGTATAGCACAGCAAATTCTGCTCAATATTCTATAATAACCTAAATGGGAGACGAATTTAAAACAGGATACATGTGTGTGTATAACTGAATCACTTTGCTCTACACCTGAAACATTTTTAATCAACTATACTCCAATATAAAATTGAAAAAATCATTCATATCAAGAGACAGAAAATCTAGACGTTTACCTTACACTTTTCACAAAAAATAACTCAAAACAGCTCTAAGACCTAAATGTAAAATGCAAAAATAAAGATTCCTAGAATATATACATGTATGTGAACATATATATATGTTTAGGCAACGTTGTGCTTAGTCACTTAGTCGTGTCCAACTCTTTTCAACCCCATGGACTGTAGCCCACCAGGCTTCTATGTCCATGAGATTCTCTAGGTAAGAATACTGCAATGGGTAGCCATTACCTTCACCAGGGGCATCTTCCCAACCGAGGGGGTCTCCTGCATTGCAGGCAGATTCTTTACTGTCTGAGCCACCAGGAAAGTTCAATGTGTGTGTGTGTGTGTTTGTGTGTGTATGTACATATATATATATGTTATCAGTTCAGTTTAGTCTCTCAGTTATGTCTGACTCTTTGCGACCCCATGGGCTGCAGCATGCCAGGCTTCCCTGTCCATCACCAGCTCCCAGAACTTGCTCAAACTCATGTTCATCCAGCCATCTTGTCCTCTGTCATCCCCTTCTCCTCCTGTCTTCAATCTTTCCCAGCATCAGGATGTTTTCCAATGAGTCAGTTCTTTGCATCAGGTGGCCAAAGCATGTATATAAATGTGTATATATATTTTTATAAATTAGCTCTCGATATTACAATCTCACGCTGCCTGCTGGCAATTATGTAAGTTGTAAGCTACTACTGTGGAATGGGAAGGCTATTGCCTTCAGTGAAATGACCTTAAATCAAGTGCCTTTATGTAGACTAACAAATAGATCAATTGTTTCCATTTCCTGGGGAAAATGGTAAAGCAAAAAATTAACATTGCAATTAGACTGAATAAAATTATTTCTTTCATATGTATTTTATTTATAATTGAATATGTGTTATTTTCTTTCAAGTGTTTGTAGATTCTATTGTGGTAAATGAAATACAAAAGATTTTAAAAGTGACACTGAATCTATGGTTATTTTCTAACTGTAAGTGTTCCTTTCAGGCAAGGGGTGTAAACATACAGTTACTGTTGTGAAGCAGTTACTAGAATAATTGCCATTACCAGTCTATAAATTTGATGGGAACTTGATGAATACACATTAAACAAAAGGGCTGCTGCTGCTGCTGCTAAGTCACTTCAGTCGTGTCCGACTCTCTGTGACCCCATAGACATCAACCAGGCTCCCCCGTCTCTGGGGCTAGAGGAGTCTATACTGAGGGACTTCAGACTCTGCAGATTCTAACTTTTAATTAATCTAGTTTTGATCTGGACAGGAGAATTTCTGAGAATGGAGAGATGGAAAAGAAGTTTGAAAAACCAGATACTGCGGTCAGTTCTGTCATTGTTCTGACCAACTCATTCTTTCACTCAGCCATGGCCACTTTATCTATTGGACGGTGAG